CCACTCTAAGGAAGTTTCAGCAATTGTCCTTCCTCTGGAGTCTCTGCCCAGCCTGGCAAGAGGGTCAGAGCAGGGCGAGAGCTGTCACACACCACACACACACACACACAAGTTGAAAAGGGGAGCACTGTCACACACCCACCACACACACCACAAGTTGAAAGGGGAGCGACTGTTCACACACAAGTTGAAAGGGGAGCACTGTCACACACACACAAGTTGAAAGGGGAGCACTGTCACAAGTTGAAAGGGGAGCACTGTCACACACACACACAAGTTGAAAGAGGAGCACTGTCACACACAAGTTGAAAGGGGAGCACTGTCACACACACACACACAAGTTGAAAGGGGAGCATTGTCACAAGTTGAAAGGGGAGCACTGTCACAAGTTGAAAGGGGAGCACTGTCACACACACACACAAGTTGAAAGGGGAGCACTGTCACACACACAAGTTGAAAGGGGAGCACTGTCACACACACACAAGTTGAAAGGGGAGCACTGTCACACACACACACAAGTTGAAAGGGGAGCACTGTCTCACACACACACACACACACACACCACACCCTCAACCTGCATCCCTGTTTCTGACCTCTGGCACTGTTGGTCATTAACTGGGAATCAGATAAATGCAGAGGGCCAGACAGAACAAATAAGATACATATCATATCATTTCCTCCCTTGTGATCCTTTCCGCGTTCACTCCCACAGGCATCAGTGCCTTGTTTTAAATGCATCCACTCTTCCTTCGCCCTATAGATCTTACAGGCACCTGCCTTTGGCTTCAGGAGAGTAGGGTGGTGGTAGTTTTGTGTACATTGCAGCCAATCATCTCACCAACCACCAGTCTACATGAAGAGATCAGACTGCTGCCCTTGAAATGTTTAGCAGTTTTAAGATCCTCTCCTGCTCCAGTATCCTTTCTAGTGATCAAGGATTTGAAGAAGACTGGAAGGAATCCAAAACAAAGGGACCCAGGGCTTGGATTGTCGTGGGAGATGGGTTTACAAACAGGTGCTTGTGGGGCCTCGGCTCAGGCACTACACTTCCCAGGAGGCCTTGCGCGGACGGCGGAGCAGGGCCTACGTGCGGCGCTCGAGCTGCGCAGATGGCGGGGCAGGTAAAGGACCGTGAGGCCTTCCAGAGGCTCAGCTTCCTGTACCAGGTGAGTCCCAAAGGGTCTCGTGGGGAAGGGAGCCCAGTGCAGCCGGCCGCGGTGTGACCGCTCGCGTCCCTAGGCCGCCCACTGTGTCCTTGCGCAGGACCCCGAGAACCAGGCGCTGGCGAGGTTTTACTGCCACACGGAGAAGACCATCGCGAAGCGGCTCGTCCTGCGGCGGTGAGACGGCGCGGGGCTCGGCGGCGGCGGGCGGGACCGGGGAGGGACGGGCGAGGGAGCGCGGGCGCCCGACCGCCTTTGCCCTCCGCCCCCAGGGACCCCTCGGTGAAAAGGACCCTGTGTCGCGGCTGCTCCTCCCTGCTGGTCCCGGGCCTCACCTGTACCCAGCGCCAGAGACGTGAGTGCTGCTGCGGAGCTGGGCTGATGGCTGAGCGCCAGGGGAGGGCGGAAGGGGGAGGGCAGGGCAGGGCAGGGCAGCCCGACAGCTCCTTCTCCCGTTAGACGCATGGAGGCTTCGGATATGCCGGAACCAGTCTTCTTCAGCTCTGGCTTAAGTTTCTAACACTACGTAGACAAGCCGAGGACTTTTTTTCCCTACCTGGGCAACAGAAAAATGATGTTGCCTTAGAGGCATCCTCGCCTGTGCATAATAGATAAGAGAGTTCCATCCCCATTCGTCCATTCACTCAAGAAGTATTTTTTAGAATGTGTCGGTGCTGGACTCATCGTTCTCATTGATGAGATGTAATTTCATTGAAATTACAGACTGATGGGACAGACGAAAATAAAAACAATTAAGATAGTGTAGAAAGAATGCTTTAATTGGAACAGTAGAATGTTACTCATGCCAGCTGTGGTGAGGTTTGTGGTAAACAAACTGAAGAGAGAGAAATTCTCGGCCGAGGTGATGATTTCCAGACGGAGAACTTGTGGTGCCATCAGGAAATAAGCGTTCAGAAGCCTAGAGTTTGAAGTAGACAGACTCGGGAAAGAAGTGAGGCTGGAGAGGGGAAACAGGCCAGATCGTGAAGAGTCTTGTTAAGGAGTTTGGAGTTTATCTTAAAGAATTGCAAAAAATTGAAAGAGTTTATGCAGGAGGCTGACATCACGAAATTTGTATTCCAAGTGGGGTTAAGGGTATGATTCCTAATGAAAAATGTGAAAGCAAAACCAGTACAAAAGACCTTTTCTTCTCAGAAGCCTGAATACTCTTCCTTTTTCCCACTTTTACTCCAGGCCGCAGGGGACAGCGCTGGACAGTACAGACCTGCCTAACGTGCCGACGCAGCCAGCGATTTCTCAATGATCCCAAGCATCTACTCTGGGGGGATCGGCCTGAGGCCCAGCTGGGTAACCAGACAGGTGAGAGGTGGTAGGGAAAAACAGGCAGGGAACAGGACGGTGGGGGTATAGAATTGAAGTGGGTACACAGGTGAGTCTGGTTGGTTAGTGGGCACCACAATCTTAGGAAACTAATTCTCCTGCTGTGATTCTGCTCATCTACCCAGATTCCAAACCACCAGAGCCCCTGCCAAATCCAGCCCATCTTCCTACGGAGAAAGTGCAGCTTCAGGCTGCAGTCACCAGGGATGGGTTCACCCCATCTTCCAGATAAATAAACCTTAATTCTGTTTGACTTTGTGTGAGTCTAATCTGTGGGCATTTCAACTCATAATTCCATTGTCCTTCATTTCTATTTGCATTTCTTGGTCACTACCCAAACCTCTCCTTTGTCCTTACATCTTTGTGCTCCTACATGTAGGGAGATCCCAATTTCCATAGGCCACTTGCTCCCATTAAGCAGCCACCCTTTCAGGGCCATGATTCCAGTGCCCAGTCACCCTCCTTCCTCAGTGCAGTGCTGTGTTTGGGACTGAAACTCCAGAGTTTTTTAGGTCCTGAGACTTCTTAGCTCATTCCATACTTAGGTAGCCCTAAATACCAACTACTGACTATTGACTAAAGGCTGGACAGAATGCTGATGCTACTACAGCCATGTTTAAATGAGGGGGAAAGCATGGAGAAGGAAGAGTGTTCATATCCTCCAGACCTGGTCAGAGTTGGTCTTTTCCTCAGAGTTGTATTCTATAAAATTCTGGGAAAAAGAAAAAAAGTGTATAATTCTAATAAGGGATGTGTTGCAAATCTGAACTACCAAGGCTGAAGGTGCTAATGAAAGCACACTTTCAGATAATACATAAGAATGCTCTGTAGGTAAACTCTCAAAATTTTCTTGAGAATCGGTAAACAACTGAAATGTTTTCTGATATCCCTAGAGAGCCTACTCAAGGAAAGCATTTTCAGACCTTTTTGCTGGCTGCCAGCTAATCAGGTTACTCGTATACAAACAAAATTCACTATTCCTAGAATGTGGTTCTCTTTCTTCCGTTTCTATTATAAATCCTGTGTTGCACTTACCTGTTGCTGCATAAAAATCTTAACAAGGCTTAAAACAACAATCTGCATTCAGAATTCTGAAAGGGATTCTGCTCCATATAGAATCAGCTGTAGTCACCACTGCATTTAGCTAGTAGCTGGTCTAGAAAACCCAAGAACCTAAGGTCCTCCTGGCCAAAGTAAGGCACATGGCCATTGCTAGATCCAGTGTGAAAGAGCTGTAGAAAGGCATGAATAGTAGGAGGTTTATTGGTTCCCTGGGAACCATTGATGTAATAATCCACCATATATTTTGCCTTTATCCCTGACTGTCTCTCCACTGACTCCTTCATATGTCAGTAAATTATTTGCATAGAAAATACTAAACTGTGGGCAAGTAACTTAATGTTCTTGGGTTATTCTTTGGCCATTTATTTCGGGAGATAGTTCCTACTTGGGTCAACTGTGACAGCCAACAGATACATGCCTAAAAGTACAGTTCGTGCAGACCTGGACCCTTTTTTACCCTAGTCAAAACATTTTCCTTTTTTAAAAGTTTTTATCATAAAATAATGCAAGGGGATTTCATTGTGATAATTCCTTACATGCGTACAGTGCAGTTCACCACATATTTCCATTCCCCCTCTTCCTTCTCCCCACACCTGGACCCTTTGCATCTTTAGCTCATCCACTTTAGCTCCTCTGATAAGTGTCACTTCTGATGGTTGAGCTCACTGGCTCTTGGACACTTAATCTGATTCTTGGCCTAGTTTGTCTTGAGTGTGCTGTGATTTCACATGGCACCATAATGAGACTCTATCCCAAAACATGCCCACCCCCCCAAAAAAAAGGCTCACATTAAAAAAAGTTGTAACTCTAAGTATCACAGACCTCTTTCTGCTTTCAAAACTGTTCTTTTTCATGTTTCATAATATATCATGATTAAATATGTGTTATACATAACACTTAACACATTTTAGATGTATATACACGTTATAGTTATTAATCTGTGCAGTAGTGGATTTACTATACCAAAGATGAAAAGAAACCAAATCCCCAGGATGTAATGGCTTTTTCAAATATCTCTGAACAATACAAAATTTAATATTTGTACCCTTTCAAAACTAAAAGGAACAAGAACAAACCTAAGTCATCCGAACTGAATCAAGAAAATGAGGTCTTCCAATATCCATACAAACCGTCTTTATCATTCCCTGAAACTTAAGTTCATTCAGCACTTTCAAAACTGGTTAAAAAAAAAAAAAATAGGGCTGGGGTATAGCAGTAGAGCACTTAGCAGAAAGCCCTAGATTTAATCCCCAGCACTGGAAAAAAACTCGTAAAAATGAGTATTTAGATTCTTAATCCAGACAATAATAAATAATGATTTTGGTTTTGTCTACCTCACATAGTTGTATCAAATAAGAATGGATGTGGAGGCACCTTGAAAAGTAGTAATCAATACTTTGGGAATAATCATAATACATTAGCAAAATAGAAGAGACAAGTTCTGGATATCAGGGAATCTGAGTCATTGTCCCCATAATAATTCAGTGTCTATCTCTAAAACCTAATTAAATAAACATCATAAAGTGCTGTTCTTTAATGTTCTTTCAGTTCTGTCAGAAATATACTTCTGTTGTAAACTAAAACAAATACAAAAACTATGCAAAACAAAACATTGCTTAACGAATTATTATATTACCCAGGTTTTAAAACTACAATGTTGCCAAACACGTATCATGTCCCAATCAAAGACATCTCATAGATTCTCCCAAGTAACTTTACTTTTGTAGTATTTACTACCTTTTTTTTAATAGCTTAATCACATGGTCTATACTTTTCCTCTCCATTCTTTTCCTTATAGTTTTTATTTAGAAAAACTTGTTTATGAAGACTTTCCTGCCATCTAGATACTGATGGTTATATATTTATAGTTTAATTCAGCATGCTTCTTTGTCCTCTGTATTTCCCCAAAATTGTGAATTGGATCCAGAGGCTTGATCAAACACAAGTTCAATCCCTTCAACAACAGTATAGGTGATTTTGTGTCCTCCTTTCTTAGGAAATCACATCATACTTGGTTTTTCTCTCCTTTTGCCATGTTAGCAACTGTTGATGTCCAATATCTAATTTCACTAATTCACCAGTTTACAAATGTTGACACTTTTAAGTGTCTTATTACACTTTACATCCTTTCCCTTATATACTATCTGGTTATCCAGTGGAATTGTTCTTTTGGGATTTCAACATTCAGGAATTTGGCATTAGAGATTGTGTCTTTTGGGATTATAATCAGACTTCCCTTATCCTTTAATTCATAGAATGCTGGCCGGTAGGCAGGCCTCTACCCTCTAGGTAGGAGATTTCTAAAACCTTGGGAAGAATATGACTAACCAGCCCCCCAAAAATAGGATACCAGATCATCTGACATTCTGAAAGCCAATAAATCCCACCCATGGCAATCAGCATTTTGGTTTCTGTTTAACTTAACCATCAGCAGAATATATTCTAAACACAGAAGGAAAATTTATAACACAAAAATAGATACCAGAGCTAAGAAATGAAAAATACCAACATGGAGGAAGCAAAGATTATTTAGGATAGAGAGAATAAGAATGTTTTTAGTGTATACAGAAATTTTAAAAGGAGAGTATCAATGAAACAAGAACAGGAAGCTCTAGAAAATGGATATGTGGACATTATCAAAAGAAACACTATCATGGATCTAGGCAGTGATTATCAATAGATGCTGACTTTGTTAAATAAAAAGTTGTCAGGCCAGTGACTCAGGCCTGTAATCCTAGCTACTCAGGAAGATCACAGTTCAAAGCCAGGCCTGGGTAAATAGTTTATGGGATCCTACCTCAAAAAAAAATCACAAAGGCTGGTGTAGTGGTTCAAGTTGTAGAGTTCCTGCCTAGCCATCATGAGGCCCTGAGTTCAAACCCCAGTACCACCAAAAAAAAAGGAATTCTTTTTTTTTTGTGTTCATTCACAAAGTGCACAACATCAGGTATAAAGTGCTCAAGTCAATAATTGAACCTTAACTTAGCAGTTTGCAAAGAACAGTAGGAACTGGAGGCATATGTTAACCACAACATAAGGATACAATCAACTAATCCCAACTTGTGAAAAATTTGCCAGGTTAAATGATCCAGTTTCTTTAACAAGTGACACGGGGGAAAGTGTGTAAGAGAAAACCACTATAGATGTAAATTTTCTTTTTCTTATTGTAAAACTAATATTTAATTCCAGATTATATTTTACCTGATTTAGGACATACATTTTAAATAAGAAACAAAAAGAAAACATTCACATGACAATTATTATTATACAGTCAAAATCCCAGCAAGTTACTTTGTAGACAATAACAAATGTATTCTAAAATTTATATGGAAATACCAGACACAGAAGTGCCAACACAATTCTGAAGAAGAACCAAGTCAGAGAACTTACACTCCCTACTTCAAGGCTTGCTGTAAAGCTACAGTAGTCAAGACATTCAAGTATTGGCAAAATAATAGACAAATAGATGAAAATATCCCAGAAACACACCCACAAAAGCATAGTCAAATGATCTTTGACAAAGGAGCAAGGACAATTCAATAGAGAACAGGTAGTCTTTCCAACTGCTGGAGCTGGAAAAAATTGGGACATCCATATGAAAAAAAAAATCTAGACACAGCCTTATATCTTGACAAAAATTAACTCAAAATGGATCATAGAGCTAAATGTACAGCACAAAACTATAAAACTAGAAGACGACAATGAGAATATGTTGATAACCTTGGATTTGATAATGACTTTTTAGGCGCAACATAAAATCACTATCCTTGCAAGAAAAACTGATAAATTGGACTTCATTAAAATTAAAGACACAGTATTGAATGCATAATCGTGAATGCTGAAATCCTAGAAGATCCAAATTCCTACAGTCTAAAAGTCCTAAATATCAAAATCCACCCCCCCCCCAGAAAAAAAAACACACAATTTCAAAAGATTTAAATCCCAACCCCAAGTGTTGAAATCTTAAAAGCCAAAGTCCTGAAAACCACAGTTCTGGGGGGTGGGGGGGGTGAGGAGGCTATTTAAGATGGGTAACAAGCCAAATTCTAAGGAAGGGATTTTCCATGAGATGCAAGATAGTTGCCAAGTTATGTAATAACACTACTTTTACCCTTCATGCATATAACAATTATCTTTAAAAACTGCCCTTCCTGAGAGAATCAAAATAATTCGACAA